TTATTTATTATTTATTTTTGCTCTCCATTTGGTTGGTAAATCTTTCTCCATTTCTTTGAGTCTTTGTGTATCCTTGCATGTGAAACAGGTCTGGATGTAACCTGCCGTTGGGTTTTGGCTGTGTCTTTTGATTGGGGGATTTAGTCAATTTAAATTTAGGGTTACTGCCATTTGATGTTAACTGGCTGTTTTATCCATTCGTTGGTGTAAATTCTTCTTTATGTTGGTGCTCTTTACTTTTTGGTGTATTTTTAGAAAGGCTAATATTAGTTGTTTCTTTCTGTGTGTAATGCTTCTTTCAGAAGCTCTTGTAAAGCAGGCCTGGTGGTAATAAAATCTCTGAGTTCTTGCTTGTTCGTAAAAGATTTTATTTTTTCTTCAGTTGTGAAGCTTATTTTGGCTGGATATGAAATTCTGGGCTGAAGGTTCTGTTCTTTGAGGATGTTGAATATTGGCCCCCACTCTCTTCTGGCTTGTAGAGTTTCTGCTGAGAGATCTGCTGTAAGTCTGATAGGCTTGCCTTTGTGGGTAACATGACCTTTCTCTCTGGCTGCCCTTAGTATTTTCTCCTTCGTTTCAACCCTGGTGAATCTAACGATTATGTGCCTTGGGGTTGCTCTTCTTGAGGATATCTTTGTGGTGTTCTCTGTATTACCTGGGGTTGAATGTTGACCTGCTTTGCTAGTTTAGGAAAATTTTCCTGAATAATATCCTGAAGGGTATTTTCCAGCTTGGTTTCATTCTCTCCGTCGCATTCAGGTACACCTATCAAATGTAAATTTGGTCTTGTCACATAGTCCCACATTTCTTGGAGACTTTGCTCATTCCTTTTTATCCTTTTTTCTCCAATCCTTTCTTCACGTTTTATTTCATTAAGTTGGACTTTGACCTCTGATATCCCTTCTTCTGCTTGAACAATTCGAGTATTTAAACCTGTGCATACTTCTCGGAGTTCCTGTATTGTATTCTTCAGTTCCATTAATTCACTCATACTCCTCTCTAAGTTGTCTATTCTCAATAGGATTTCATCAAACCTTTTTTCAAAGTTCCTAGTATGTTTACGTTGGGCTACAACGTGTTCTTTTAACTCACCGAAGTTTGTTATTATCCATTCCTTGAAGAGTGATTCTGTCATCAGGATGTGCTCGTTCTCCATCAAGCCTTGTTCCATTGTTGATGTGGAACTGTGATCATCTTTAGAGGGAGAGGCGTTCTGACTTTGAGTATTCTCAGCTTTTTTACGCTGGTTTCTTCCCGTCATTGTAAATTTATCCTCCTGCTGTCTTTGAATTTACCAACTTTCAGATTATGTCTCTTGAGTTGACGTCCAGGTTGTTAGTTCCCCGGGCCAGAGCAGCGGCGTTAAAACTGATGGTGCTTTTCTGCCCAGGATTCTCCTGTCGGGCTTCGTTCTTGTGTCCGTAGTAGGCGACTCTGCCTTCCCGGGGCTCCAAACCTCGGTCAGAAGGGAAACCGGTCCCGTTTACTCTGTGTCGAGCGCTGCCGCGACGAGGTGCTGTCACAGCCACTGCGCCGGGCTCTGGTGTCCTGCTGGGGACCCGTGCGGGTCCTCCGAACCTGTTTACTCTGCTCCGAGAGCTGCCGCGCCGAGGTGCCCGCGGAACTGCTGCGCCAGCCACGAGAGTCGCGCTGGCGACCCGTGTGTTTCCTCCACTGGGGGATATTCTGCTCCGTGAGCGACCAGAATTTGTCTGAAAGTGTGGCGTCCTCTAGTTCTCCCTGCCTTCACTGAGAGCTGCAGTCCCGGGATGTTAGCGATCGGCCATCTTGCATCCATTCTCCAGTTTTCTTTTCTTAGGTCATTCATTAAAATCTTGAGCTGTGAGCTCTTAAGTTCATGTTTCCCTCAAGGCCCTCTGGTTCATTCTGGAGATATGTTGGAAGATTCTTTGTTGTCGTAGGAGAGAAATGTTTGAAGACTCGGTCCCTGCCTGATCTGGGTTCCCAGGACCTCTCTGACCTCATCTCCTGCCTGTGTCCTCCTCGCTCCCTCTGCTCCAGCCACACAGGCCTCTTTCCTGTTCCTGGGGCCGAGGTTGCTCCTGCCTCAAGGCCCTCAGGTGGCCTGTGTCTCTGCTGGAACTCGCTGGTGTTGCATTGAACTTAGCACAGAAAGTCAACACCAGAACAAAAGTATGCCAAATTGCAGGGTTTATTGCCGGCGACCACGGAGGACTCACGTCTCTCCAACCCGTGGCCCCGTAAAAGAGGGTGACAAGACCTTTTATACCCGTAAAATCGCCTCGGGGGTGAGGGGAGAGGATGGGGTGAGGGGCTTCAGACATTCCGAGGGCCAGTGGATTCAAATCAGCTTCTGGGCGGAGATGAGGGTGAGGGGGTTCTGGACATTTCGAGGGCCAGAGGACTATTCTGATTGTCATTTAAGGAGTTCACAGATGCTAAGATTAGCATTCGTTTACACATCGTCTGGGTAGGGGTGGGATCCATAGATTTTCAGTTGCTTGGCGCCAGGATGGAATGATCTTGGGGTGCCTACTCTGGGAAACAAAGGCCAGCAATTCTGATAGATAAAAGGAGGTATGCAGCTTTACCTCTCTTTGCATCCTGCAAATGATCTAGCAATTTACAAAAGCCAAGGTTAGCAGTCATTGTGAGAATGGAAACAGCACTGTTCTTTTAAAAAAATGGCATTATACAGGTTCTAATTCTAGGCCAGCTATATCACACTGGCCCCACAGCTGCAGGGGCAGGCACACCTCCTTCCCCGGTGTCTGTTCTGATATCACCTCCCAGTGGGAACTTCTGTGACCCACCTCCCAATGAGCACTGCAGCCACACCCTCACCCCACCTCTGGTCCATATTGGCTGTTCTGCATGCTTCTTTTTGTATTCTTCACCTTCCACCGCCTCGGTACTGGTGATCCAAGGCCCCAGGGGGAGAGCAGAGCCTAATAGGGGCTGCGCTGGGCTCACCTCCTCCTCCTCCGAGTGGATCTCAACTGTGGCTTCACAGGAGAATGCCGGGGAATTTACACGATATCTTTTATGCTCCAGAGATTCTCCTTCACACACTCAGGGTAGGCCTGCGTTGTTTCTTTCTTTTCTGTTTTATTATTATTATTATTAACTTATTTTTTTGAGACGGAGTTTCGCTGTTGTTACCCAGACTGGAGTACAATGGTGCGATCTCGGCTCACCACAATCTCCGCCTCCTGGGTTCAGGCAATTCTCCTGCCTCAGTCTCCTGAGTAGCTGGGACTACAGCCATGGGCCACCATCCCCAGCTAATTTTTTTGTATTTTTAGTAGAGACGGGGTTTAACCATGTTTACCAAGATGGTCTTGATCTCTTGACCTCATGATCCACCTGCCTCAGCCTCCCAAAGTGCTGGGATTACAGGCATGAGCCACCGCGCCCGGCCCTATTATTGTTTTTTTTGAGACAAAGTTGCACTCTTGTTGCCCAGCCTGGAGTTCAATGGTGCACCACCATGCCCAGCTAATTTTGTCTTTTTAGTAGACATGGGGTTTTTCTATGTTGGTCAGCCTTGTCTGGAACTCCCGAGCTCAGGTGATCTGCCTTCCTTGGCCTCCCAAAGTGCTGGGATTACAGGCATGAGCCACCACGTCCAGCCTTAACTTGATTTGGTGTTTTTGACAATCAGTGATTTGTTCTCATCCGCAGTGCCGGCCTGTAGGTTTCTGAAAGTGGTAACAGGTACCCAGGTAAACACAGTATAGAGCTTATTTGGTGACTCTTCATCCTCATTACATTGTCTGGACAACCGCACGTGGACGTGGTGTGGGACATTCCTTATTCCTTTGGCCGGGACAGCTTTGTTGAGCCTGGAGTCAGTGCACGCACCTGGACTTCCCATCTCCTTCATGGGAAATTTATGAATGTTGTTGAGCGCCCGAGGGGCACGCTTGAAGCCCACCCCGTGGATGCGCTTGTGAATGCTGATGGTGCAGTCTCGGGTCACCGCCTCATTGGGGGCAGAACGGGTTTTTCTTCTCCCCACACCTGTTTGCGGGAGCCATTCTGCCGGGTCCAAGTTGGAAAGCTTGCTGACTTTGAATAATGTTTAAGGTTTGCTCTGTGTCCATCATTGAGCAGCAAGGTTTTTTTTTGGTTGTTTTTTGTTTCTTGCTGGAGTGTAGCTGTGGGATCTTGGCTCACTGCAACCTCCTTTTCCTGGGATTAAGGAATTCTCCTGCCTGAGGCTCCAGAGTAGGTGGGATTAGAGACACCCACCGCCACGCATGGCTAAGTTTTGTATTTTTAGTAGAGATGGGGTTTTAGCATATTGGCCAGCCTGATCTCTTGGCCAGGTGTTCTCCTTCTCCTGACCTTGTGATCTGCCTGCCCCAGCTGCCCAAAGTTCTGGTATTACAGGCTGAGCCACCACCCTGGACTTTTTTTTTTTTCTTTTTTTTCTTTTTAAAAGAGTCTCACTCTTGTCACCCAGGCTGGACTGTAGTGGTGCAATCTTAACTCATTGCAACCTTTACCCCCTGGGCTTAAGTGATCCTCCCACCTCAGCCTCATGATAAGCTGGGAGCACAGACACAGAGATGTGTACCAGCATGCTTGGCTAAGTGTTTGTATTTTTCATAGAGATGGCCTTTCACCATGTTGCCCAGGCTGGTCTCCAACTCCTTGATCAAGGCATCCACCTCTCTTGGCTTTCCAGAATGCTGGGATTAAAGTTCTGAGCCACCACACTCAGCATCTGCGTGGGCTTTGGTAAGGGCTAGGTCTGTGCCCTGCAGGGGAGCTCATTCCATCCCAGCTCTCCACTGATACAGTGTGTCTGGGGGCTTCTCCAGGAGGGGAGCGGGTTCAGATGAGAGGGATGAAAAAATCACTTAGTTTTCTTCTAGGAGTTTATCATCCCTGGTGCAGTGGGCAGCAGAGGGAACTGTATTTCCTCAGGGTGAGGTCTCCTTTGTATGTGTCATTGTGTTCCAGGGAGGGGGTTAATTCTAAGCAGTAAACCACATATTTTTAACATTCAGGATTGACTTCTAATGACTCTTGATACGTGAGGAAGAGCTCCGGAAGAGGAAGAGGAAAGCAAAGGAGTCAGGGATGGCTCTTCCTCAGGTGAGATGATCTTCTTGGTGGATTGTTCTGTCTCCTTTTTTTCAGAAATGCTGGGCCTTGGAGTTGGGAATCTTCTCTGAGTCTGAAGCATCCTGCCTGCCAGGTTTGCTGGCACACACGCATGCCTTCCCTGAGTCCCTCTCATGTCAACTAGATTCCATCTCTGGTGACCCAGTGACAGGAGCGTGGGAAGAGGCTGCACTGGGCATGGTCCTGGGAAGGGCTCACCCCAGACTCAGATGGAGATGGGGTGTGGGTCCCATGGTGTCAGGGCTGCTGGGCAGCAGGGATTGTTCAGGGGCCACATCTGATGCACCGTCAGCTCTCTGTAGACAAGGAGTAGAGCAGCTGCTAGTAAAAGTCATGTATTAATGTGCACAAAGTACGTGGTAAATTCCAGAAACGGAGTCCAATAAGGGGAAGTCTTTTCTGCCTGATTTTATGGTACATGTTGAGGTAATTGTGTGAATTTCTGTGTTTCTGATGCCAACCATCTCACTCATTAGAATGGAGCGTTAATACACAGACATGAATGATACAAGGTGTTTTATTCCATTAGTTTAAGTATGTGAAACTAACCTAAATCGTAGCAGGAGATTCATGAAAACTTTTTTTCTTTTTTTTTTTTTTTTTTTTTTGAGAAGGAGTTTCCCTCTTGTTACCCAGGCTGGAGTGCAATGGCTCACCGCAACCTCCGCCTCCTGGGTTCAGGCAATTCTCCTGCCTCAGCCTCCTGAGTAGCTGGGATTACACGCGCACACCACCATGCCGAGCTAATTTTTTGTGTTTTTAGTAGAGACGGTGTTTCACCTTGTCTAGGATGGTCTCGACCTCTTAACCCCGTGATCCCAAAGTGCTGGGATTATAGGCATCAGCCACTGCGGCTGGCCTCATTAAACCATTCTTAGTGCATTAAGCTCATGGAGACTGTGGTGTTGCTGTGGAAAGGCTTTGAAACAGGCCTTTTCAGTAAAAATGGTTCTAATGTTCCTAAATATGGGAGCACAACTTCATTTTTATCCTAAAGGATGGAGCCAAATTCTCATTCTACCTGTTATTGTTATTATTTTAGAGAAAGCGTTGCTCTGTCATTCAGGCGGGAGTGCAGTGGTGTGATCTCGGCTCACTGCAACCTCTGCCTCCCTGGTTCATGTGATTCTCCCGCTTCAGTCTCCCAAATAGCTGCCATTATAGGCCCCTGCCACCACAGCCAGCTAATTCTTCTGTGTTTTTAGTAGAGATGGGCTTTCACCACATTGGTCACGCTGGACTCAAACTCCTGACCTCAGGTGATGCACTTGACTTAGCCTCCCAGAGTGCTGGGATTACAGGTGTGGCCACTGTGCCCAGCCCCACCAATTATTATTGAATAAACGTTTTTGTTTTTAAACACCACGTGATGTACGTATTTGTTTTGTGTAAAGCTCCAGGCCCTTGGCCATAAAGCTCCTCCTTCCTCTGTCACGTCCTCCACCCTCCTTCCAGCCTCACCGGGACCCACTACTGTCAGTTCTGTGTCAGGTGTCAGGGGAAGTCTTATAATCGTGTATTTCTGCATCTTTATGAGACTTTTAGAAAAAATTTTGCAAAGATAAAAATATTTCCTTATATATTTATGTTTTAACTGTAGGCTACGTGTGAAGGTTTGTCACATAGGTAGGCTCGTGTCATTGGGGCTGGTTGTACAGATCATTTCATCACCTTATCCAATAGTTCTTTTTTATTTAGGTTTTTTTTTTTGGGACGGGAGTCTCGCTTGTCACCCAGGCTAAAGTGCTGTGGCAGAATCTTGGCTGACTGCATTCTCCACCTCCTGGGTTCAAGCAAGTCTCTGCCTCAGGCTTTCAAGCAGCTGGAATTGTAGGTGCCCGCCACACTGCCGGGCTAATTTTTGTATTTTTAGTAGATATGGGGTTTTACCCTCTTGGCCAGGCTGGTCTCAAACTGCTGATCTGAAGATCTGCAGACTTTGACCTCCCAAAGTGCTAGAATTACAGGCATGACCAACTGCACCTGGCTGTTTACCCTTTTTTTTTTTTTTTGAGACTGAGTTTTTCCTTTGTCACCGAGGCTGGAGTATAACTTGACTCACTGCAACCTTCACCTCCTGGGTTCAAGGGATTCTCCTGCCTCAGCCTCCTGAGTAGCTGGGATTACAGGTATGTGTCACCATGCCCGACTAATTTTTATATTTTTAGTAGAGATAGGGTTTCACCATGTTGGTGAGGCTGGTCTCAAACCTCTGACCTCGTGATCTGCCCACTTTGGCCTCCCAAAGTGCTTGCATTACAGACATGAGCCACTGTGAATGGACAATTTTTGTATTTTAGTAGGGACAGGGTTTTATCATGTTCACCACACTGGTCTTATACTCCTGAGCTCAGGTGATCCACCCACCATGGCCTTCCAAAGTGCTGGGATTACAGCCATTGCCGTCACGCCCAATTGAATTTTAGTTTTTGATTTTTCACTGTGGACATTGTCATTTCTGAAAACATCATTCATGTTCTGTCTCATGTAGATACAAAATGTTACTTGGTGTGTTGGTAAAATTTTCAAACAGTTCTTTAGTGAGAACGCTGCGTTTTTTAATTTGTGTTTTTCTTTTTTTTTTTTCATTGAACACATTTAATAGCCGCTGTGTGTATTTCTTGCATTATCCACTAACACAAGAAATCCATACCAAGACGGCATCGTGACCTTTTCAAAAAGTATATTAAACACAACTGGGAAGACATAATGTGGTGAAAAATCCCTTTCTCCATTTGTCAGAATATTGCCTAAAATTAAATCTGTATTTTCGGCCGGGTGCGGTGACTCAGGCCTGTAATCCCAGCACTTTGGGAGGCTGAGGTGGGTGGATCACGAGGTCAAGAGATTGAGACCATCCTGGTCAACATGGTGAAACCCCGTCTCTACTAAAAATACAAAACATTAGCTGGGCATGGTGGCGCGTGCCTGTAATCCCAGCTACTGAGGAGGCTGAGGCAGGAGAATTGTCTGAACCCAGGAGGTGGAGGTTGTGGTGAGCTGAGATCACACCATTGCACTCCAGCCTGAGTAAGAAGAGGGAAACTTTGTCTCAAAAAAAAAAAAAATAAAATAACTCTGTGCTTTCACCTCTGTTCTCTTGTCATTCTCTGTAAAGATCAGAACTCCTCCCGTAACCATGTGGTTAAAATGTGTTTTCATTTCAGGGTCTACTGACATTCAGGGATGTGACCATAGAATTCTCTCAGGAGGAGTGGAGATGCCTGGACCCTGCTCAGAGGATTTTATACTGGAACGTGATGTTGGAGAACTACAGGAACCTGGTCTCCCTGGGTGAGTCCAGCTTCCCCCGGAAGTGGGGACGTGCCCTTGCGTATGTTTTCTCTTGCTGCCTCCTGGGAGCAACATCCTGGCTTGCCTAAAATGGAAGCCGTATTGGTTTCGAAATGAAAAGCTTCTGGATTTTACCTGTCTGTTTTGTTTAGATGTTGTATATTCTTCATGATACCTCACAGGGGTTTCCCGAAGTAAAGGAGGCAAAAACCTGGTGGCAGGCCAGGTGCAGTGACTCAGGCCTGTGATCCCAGCACTGTGGGAGGCTGAGGCTTGTGGGTCGCTTCAGGTCAGGAGTTCAAGACCAGCCTGGCCAACATGGAGAAACCCCGTCTCTACCAAAAATGCAAAAATTAGCCAGGCATGGTTGTGCCCTCCAGTAATTCTAGATACTAGAAAGGCTGAGGAAGCAGAATCGCTTGAACCTGGGAGGCAAAGGTTGCGGTGAGACGAGATCACGCCGCTGCACTCCAGCACAAGCTACAGAGCAAGACTCTGTCTTAAAAAAACAAAAGCAAAACCTTCTGGCAGACTTTAAAGATATCAGTTCCCTGTTTGTTACTCCTGTGCTGTTTACTCAGTAGTTCCTAGAAAGAAGCGTGATTTCCACATACTACAAGGCTCTCTAAGCATTCCGAAGGAGGCAGGCAGTGGAGCAGTGTGAAATATTTTCCTCCATCCATCTGGAATGTTTGTTTTCCAACTGAAACGTAGGGCTGGGGCACTAGAAAAGCTTCAGCACATCACATTTCTTTCTTTTTACAAGCAGGAGCCTCTGTCTGACCTGTTGTCTCCATGATGAAGCCAGGGAAAGAGCCCTGGACTGTGGAGAGTCAAGTAAAAATAGCAGAAACATCTAGATGGGTGGGAATGTACTACAGCTGTAATCACAAGTGGGAGCTACGATGGGCAGAGTAGAAACTGCACCTTCAAATAGTGTGTGGGGATGTGTGGCCAAAAAAAACGATGAGTTTATGTCCTTTGCAGCCACCTGGATAAAGCTGGAGACCATCATTTTCAGCAAAATGGCAGAAGAACAGAAAATCAAACACTGCATGTTCTCATTCATAATTGAGTGTTGGACAGTGAGAACACATGGACACACGGAGGGAAACATCACACACTAGGGGAGGGATGGCAGGGATGGGGACTACGGGAGGGAGAGCATTAGGAGAAATACCTAATGCAGATAACGGGGTGATGGATGCAGCAAAGCACCATGGCACATGGATACCTTTGTAACTAACCTGCTTGTTCTGCACATGTACCCCAGAACTTAAAGTATAATAATAATAAATAAATACAGTAAATACATAAAGAAGTAAATAGTGAGTGAGGAAACTCTGCAAGCGGGAGAATTCTGTGGAAAAAGGAAAGCTTAAATTCTGAGATCTCTGAATGGACACCTTTCTTTGTCCCCACTTGTCCTTCGTTTGCTATTTATTTATTTTTGAGATGACGTCTTGCTCTTTTGCCTAGGCTGGAGTGCCGTGGCACATAGTTCACTGCAACCTCTGCCGCCTGGGTTCAACATGATTCTCCTGCCCAAGCCTTTCAGGTAGCTGGGACTTCAGGTGTGCACCACCATCAGACCTAGCTAATTTTTGTATTTTTAGCAGAGACAACGTTTCACTGTGTTGGCCAGGCTGGTCTTGAACTCCTGATTTCAGGTGATCCACCCCCCTCAGCCTTCCACAGTGCTGGGATTAAAGGTGTGAGCCACTGCACCTGGCCTGTCTGCTCTCCAGATGTGCAGGAGTTTGATCTTTGGGCGTTCTGGCGGTGCTGCAGCTCAGAGACAAAGGCAGAGTCTTTCTCCTGTTGGCAACACCCTGTCATCTGGCTTCTGTGACCTCTTTGGTTTCTTGCCTCTGTGGCTCAGGGAGGGCTGTCAAAGGGTGTGTTCCCCCTGCGGTCTCCTTTGTACTTGATTCCATGTGATGCTCCGTTCTCTGTCCCTGTAGCTCAGAACTGAGGCCTCCGTACACCTGCCCCTTGACCTATTCAGGTTCCATCCCATTTTCTGTACTCGCAACACCTAATCAGGAGATGGGAAATACGGGCTGTTCCTTTTTTGCATCTGGGGCCCGTAACAATGCCCAGAGCTTTCTCTGCTTGTTTAAATAGTCTACTTCTCTATTTGGGTGGGGGGGGGGGGAATGCCACATAGGGTGGCTCACACCTGTCATCCCTGAACTTTGAGAGGCTGAGGAAGGCGGATCACTTTAGGTCAGGAGTTTGAGACCAGCCTGGCAACATGGTGAAGCCCCATCCCGACTGAAAATGCAAAAAGTAGCTGGGTGTGATGGTGTGTGCCTTTAATTCCAGCTACTTGGGAGACTGAGGCTTGAACCTGAGAGCCGGAGGTTGCAGTGAGCTAAAATTTCATCCCTGCACTCCAGCCTGGGTGACAGAGCAAGACTCTGTCCTCCCACAAAAAAAAAAAAAATCAGAAATGCTTTTCCTACTCTCACATGCCACCTTGCACTGAACGCCTCAGTTCTGATGACGAGAAGTGGATTTCTTCCCAACCACATCCAAATCTTGAACGGACACAAACTGAATTTCTTGTAGTTTAATTCAGTTCTGACACTTTCTACCCAGAGTTAGAGTCAGATCTTACAGGTGAAGGGTTGAGTTCCCAGGCCAGCAAGGGCGGCCCCGGACCTCATAGAGCAGTTGCAAGTGTAGATTGTCACATGTTCCTCTGACCAACCAGCTGTAAGTTGGGTTCCCTCAACCCCTTTCTTTGGTTTGATTGCTTTGCTAGGGTGGCTCACAAAACTCAGTGAAACACCTTCTTAGGTTCATGAAAAAGAATGTTTCACAGGACACAGAGGGACAGCCAGATGAGAAGATTCACAGAGTGAGGCACTAAATTGTAAACGAATAGTCATTCTCTGATATAACAGTTCCACACATTATTGATTTGAAAAAAAGAACACAAAGACTATCATAAAAAATAGGAAAATGAGCCGTACTCAGTGGCTCATGCTTGTAATCCCAGCATATTGGGAGGCCAGGTGAATCATGAGGTCAGGGGTTCGAGACCAGCCTGGCCAGCAGCGTGAAATTCTGTCTCTACTAAAAATACAAAAATTGGCTGGGCATGATGCCACACACCTGTAGTCCCAGCTACTCTGGAGGCTGAGGTGGGAGAATCAATTGAACCTGGGAGGTGAAGGTTGCAGTGAGCCAACATCACGTCACTGCACTCCAGCCTGGTGACAGAGGAAAACTCCGTCTCAAAAAAAAAATAGAAAAATGATTATTAAATTAATAAAATCCAAGATCATTTGTAATATATAAAAATTTACTGGATGGCCAGGCACGGTGGCTCACGCCTATAATCCCTGCACTTTTGGAGGCCGAGGTGGGTGAATTATGAGGTCAAGAGATTGACACCATCCTGGTCAACAAGGTGAAACCCCGTCTCTACTAAAAATACAAAAAATAGCTGGGCATGGTGGCATGCGCCTATAATCTCAGCTACTTGGGAGGCTGAGGCAGGAGAATGGCTTGAACCCAAGAGGCAGAGGTTGTGGTGAGCCGAGATCATGCCATTGCACTCCAGTTTGGGTAACAACAGTGAAACTTCGTCTCAAAAAGAAAAACAAAAAAAGAAAAAAAAATGTACTGGATGAACATAGAAGTAGCTTAAACAAATATCAGTGCACATAAAACCCGAGGGGTCTTTGCAGTGAGCTGTGCTCCACACAAGGACCATGGGAAGATTACGGGTGTGACATGCTCCAGGCTCCTGCGTGTGTTCGGCATTTGGAATCTCTCGTATCCCCCACAGTTTAGGGATTTGCATGGAGGCTTCACCACGTAGTCATGATTGGTATTAACTCAGTCTCCAGCCTCTCTCCCCTTCCTGGAGGATGGTGGATGGCAGTGACTTTTCCATGCTTCTAAGCCTGGCCTGGTCTTGCTGGTGATCAGTCCCATCCAGGAGACCTCAGAGGTTTCCTCATAAGGACAAATGGCCCTCCCATCACCCGGGACATCTCACGGTCTTCGGAGCTCTGTGTCAGGAACCGGGAAAGAGACCAATATATGCATCTCTTCTTATGTCACAGGGTTCCTCAGCCATTCTCCGGTTATGCTTCACCCACACTAGTAGTGTGTGTCACAGAGGAGTGGGTAGATTTTTCTGAGATGGTTACTCAGCTGAGTGGGAAAGACAGTCAACAGGAAGGCCGTATGTTGCATCCTGAGGTCCTCTTGGAAGTACGGCTCACAGGGAAGACGCCTCTGGTTTGAAGTTCACTGTTACGTGTTTAAGCCGCTGCTACTTTCATCTGATACATTTCTACATATTACACACGATTCTAGATTTTATCGATTTATAATCAGTTTCTTTTTTGTGTGTGTGACGGAGTCTCGTTCAGTCACTCAGACTGGCGTGCAGTGGTGCAATCTCAGCTCACTGTAGCCACTGCCCACTGGGTTCAAGTGATTGTCCTGCCTCAGCCTCCTGAGTAAGTGCGATTACAGGTGTGTACCAGCACGCCCAGCTAATTTTTGTATTTTTAGTAGAGATGGAGTTTTACTCTGGTGGCCAGGCTAGTCTCAAAAACTACTGTCCTGAAGTGATCTACAAGCTTAAGCCTCCCACAGTGCTGGGAATACAGCGTGAGCCACGCGCCCGGCCTCCCACAGTGCCAGGATTACAGCGTGAGCCACGTGCCCGGCCTCCCACAGTGCCAGGATTACAGCGTGAGCCACGCGCCCGGCCTCCCACAGTGCCAGGATTACAGCGTGAGCCACGCGCCCGGCCTCCCTCTCCACTTTTATTGGTCAGGTTTCCTGTTTTTTCCGTTATTGAAAGTCTTATGTTGAAAATCATCTAGTATTACGGTGGAGCGATTCATTTGATTCTGTAAACATTGGCTTTAAATATGGAGCTCTGATATTCATACATATGTATGTCTAGTTGTTGTATATTAATGGTGAATTGACCCTATTATCATGATATAATGTCCTTTCTTGTCCCCAATAAAATAGTTTTGAGTTAAAACGTATTTTAGTATTGCCAGCTCTCGTCTCTCTGGATGACAGTTGCTTGGGATATTATGTTTTATCTTTTGTGTTATTTTCTATTAAAAAATTTTTGAGATACAGTGTCTTGCTCTGTCACCCAGGGTGGAGTGCAATGGTGTCATCATGGCTCCCTGCAACCTTGAATTCCAGTGATTGTCCCACCTCAGCCTCCCTGGATAGCTGGTACAGGTGCATGCCACCATGGCGGGCCAATGTTTTAGGTTGTTTTTTTTTTAGATACAGTGTCTTGCTGTGTTGTTGAACTTGGTCTTGAGATCTTCCTCAGCCTCCTGCATACCTGAGATGACATGCCTCAACCCTCATATTAACTGTTGGCTTTTATTTTTTAAATTGTAGCATATGTGTGTCCTTAGGGCTAATACGAGTCTTCTGTGGACAACACGTAGTTGGCTCCTGTTGATTCAGCCAGTCTTTTTCTTCTGAGTGCAGAGTTAAGTATTTACATTTGAAGTATTACTGATGGAGAAGACCTTACCGTTGCCTTTCTGTTACCTGTTATCTGTCATTCTTGTAGGTTCTTTTTGTTCTTCCTGGTATGCTGCATTTTGTGTTTCGTTGCTTTTTTGTGTAGACATGCTTCGACTCCCTTCTCATTTATGTTTTTTTAAGTTTTATTTATTTATCTTTGAGATGGAGTCTCGCTCTGTCACTCAGGCTAAGTGCAGTGGCGCAGTCATGGCTAACCACAGCCTCCGCCTGCCAGGCTCCAATGGTTCTTATGCCCCAGCTTCCTGAGTAGCTGAAACTACAGGCGCCCCCTCCCCCCTCCAGCTAATTTTTGTGTTTTTAGTAGAGTTGAGGTTATACCATGTTGGTGAGGCTGGACTCGAACTCCTGATCTCAAGTGACCCATCTTGCTCAGATTCCCAAAGTGCTGGGATTACAGGCATGAGCCTCCGTGCCCAGCCATTGTTATGATTTTTTTTTTTTTTTTTTTTTTTTGAGGGTAAAAGAGAAAAAGAGGGAAAAAGGAATATTACTTCATTCCTAAAATGGGTTTCAATAATGGCCGATCAATATTTTGAGTGTTTAAAGTGGTTAATGCATATTTTATGTGTTTAAAATAGAGACCTCTATTGTGTTTGTTTGTTCTGGCTCTGAGTTCAAGTCCTGGATATCGTTATCAATTTGTTGTCTCGTTGAATCTAAATCTCATTATGGGTCTTATGTATCTGGGTGTTAAGATCTCTTATTGTTGCATGAATCCTTTTACCCTTGCATCCTTGTAGCTTTGAAATCTATTAAGTGTGAGAATTGCAACTCCTGCTTTTTATTTATTTATTTTTGCTCTCCATTTGGTTGGTGAGTTTTTTTCCATCCCCTTGTTTTGAGTCTTTGTATATCTTTAGATATATCGTTAGATTTTGTGGATAATGTATATTTTGTGTGTTTAAAATGGAGAGCTCTATTGAGTTTATTTGTTCTGGATCTTAGTTCCAGTCCCGGGTATCGTTATCAATTTTTTGTCTCGTTGAATCTAAATCTCACTATGGGTCTTATGTATCTGGGTGTTAAGATCTCTTATTATTACATTAATCCTTTTACCCTTGTATCCTTGTAGCTTTGAAATCTATTTTGTCAAATGTGAAAATTGCAACTCCTGCTTTTTATTTATTTATTTTTGCTCTCCATTTGGTTGGTACGTTTTTTTTTTCCAACCATTTATTTTGAGTCTATGTATATCTTTGGATATACCGTTAGATTTTTTCTGTATCTTTTGATTGGGAGATTTGGTCGATTTAAATTTAGGGTTGCTGCCATTTGATATTAACTGGCTATTTTGTCCTTTCGTTGATAAAAATTCTTCTTTATGTTAATGCTCTTTACTTTTTGGTGTATTTTTAGAAAGGGTCATACTGGTTGTTCCTTTCTGTGTATATAATGCTTCTTTTAGAAGTTCTTGTAAAGCAGGCCTGGTGGTAATAAAATCTCTGAGTACTTGCTTGTTCCTAAAAGATTTTATTTTTCCTTCAAATGTAAAGCTTAAATTGGCAGGATATGAAACTCTGGGCTGAAAGTTCTGTTGATGAAGTATATTGAATATTGGCCCCCACTCTCTTCTAGCTTGTAGGGTTTCCGCCGAGAGATCTGCTGTAAGCCTAATAGGCTTACCTTTATGGGTAACTTGATCTTTCCCTCTGGCTGCCCTTAATATTTTCTCCTTCGTTTCGATCTTGGTGAATCTAACAATTATGTGCCTTGGGGTTGGTCTTCTTGAGGAATATCTTTGTGGTGTTGTCTGTATTGCCTGGGGTTGAATAGTGTCCTGCTTTGCTAACTTAGGAAAATTTTCCTGGATAATGTCCTGGAGAGTATTTTCCAGCTTGAATTCATTCTCTCCGTCACATTCAGGTACACCAATCAAGCGTATATTAGGTCTTTTCACATAGTCCCATATTGCTTGGCGACTTTGCTCATTCCTTTTTATCCTTTTTTCTCTATTCTTGTCTTGTCGTTTTGTTTCATTAAGTCGGTCTTCCACCTTTCTTCTGCTTGATCCTTTCGGCTGTTTAAGCTTGTACATATTTCACTAAGTTCTCGTGTTGTATTTTTCAACTCCATAAGTTCATTTGTATTCCTCTCTATATTGTCTATTCTTTTCAACATTTCATCTAACCTTTTTTCCAAGTTCTTAGTTTCTTTACATTGGGTTAGAACAAGTTCCTTTAACTCCCAGAAGTTTCTTATCATCCACCTTTTAAAGCCTACTTCAGATAATGGATCACAGTCCTTTTCCATCAGGGCTTGTTCCGTTACTGATGAGTCTTTTTCCGTTACTGATGAGTCTTTTTCCATCAGGGCTTGTTCGGTTGCTGATGAGTCCTTTTCCATCAGGGCTTGTTCCGTTGCTGATGGGTTCTGATTTTGAGTATACTCGGCCTTCTTAGGCTGTTTTTTTTCCCTTCATTGTAGATGAACCGCCTTTCTAATTAGTTTTCTGAGTCGACGTCCGACTTATTGATTCCCAGTGCTGGGATCCGAGCAACCCACTGTGGCAGCCTAAATAGCAGCGATAAGACTGATGGTGCTCTTCTGTCCGGGAATCTCTGGTCTGGCTTCCCTCTTGAGTCCCAAACAAGCGGCTCTGACTTCCCGGAGCTCCAAACTCCGATCAGTAGGGGAAGCAGTCCCGTTGGCTCTGCATGAAGAGCTGCTGAGCCGAGACGCCGGCAAAACCGCTGCGGCGGCCACAAGAGTCGCGCTGGCGACCCGTGGGGCTCCTTTACTGGGAATCGGCTGATCTGTGAGTGACGAAAATTCGTCTAAAAGTGTGGCGTCCTCTCGTTCTCTGAGCTTTCACTGGGAGCTACAATCCTGAGCTGTTAGTGGTCAGCCATCTTGGATCGATCTCTCAGAAAGTGATTCCATTGTTAGGATTTAAAATCGTTTGTCTTTTAGGTTTTAGTAAACACGTAAGTGGTTTAAGCATGATTTTAATGTGAATATAACAATCACATTAGTGTGTGTTTCTTTCAGTATGAAGAACTGAAGTGTGTTGGATAGATATTTTGGGGAAGTTGTAGTATAATAATGAAACTTAAAATTTCCATAACCTGGCCTGGTGGAGTTGCTCATGCCTATAATCTCAGCACTTTGGGAGGCCGAGGCGGGCCGATCACCTGAGGTCAGGAGTTCAGAACTAGCCTGGCTAACATGATGAAACTCTGTCTCTACTAAAAATGCAAAAATTAGCTGGGCGTGGTTGTGCGCGCCTGTAGTTTCAGGTACTCGGGAGGCCGAGGCAGGAGAATTGCTTGAACCAGAAGGCAGAGGATTTGGTGAGCCAAGATCGTGCCATCGCACTCCAGTCTGGGTAACAACAGTGAATCTCCGTCTCAAAAAAAAAAAAAAAATAGCTGCTCATCGTGGCATGTGCCTGTCGTCCCAGCTACTCAGGAGGCTGAGGCAGGAGAATTTCCTGAACCCAGGAGGCGGAGGTTGCGGTGAGCCGAGATCACGCCATTGCACTCCAGCCTGGGTAACAAGAGTGAAACTTTGTCAAAAAAAAGAAAAAAAAAAAAAAAATATATATATATATATATATATTCTCTTTATTGATGTGACAGTATATATTTTTTGCAGGCGGTCGCCGAGGCTCATGCCTGTAATCCAGGCACTTTGGAGGCCAAGGCTGGCGGATCACCTGAGGTCAGGAGTTCAAGACCAGCCTCCCCAACATTTTGAAACTCTTTATTTATTTAAAAAAAAAAAAAAAGAAAGATTTTTTTTGCGAAGTTTTATTCACTTTAAGGTCATTGTGGAAAAATACTTTTTTTTTTAGGCTTACATGTGCTTGTCCCCTGTGAATGTTTTGTTGTGATACTGGAAATAGGCTTCAGTAGACATGGCTTGAAGTCCATGTAATCACTCTTTGTTCATTGAAGAGTCTCACTTCTTTTGTGTTCCTTTTTGTCTGTCATATTTATAGTTTAGTATTATACACCATTTGTACTTAATTGGAAACCTATTTGTGTTTATATTTTGTAGATATCTCTTCCAAATACAAGATGAAGGGGCTCTTGTCAACAGCACAAGGCGATACAGACGGGTTCCACACAGGGATATTAGATAGACATGAAAGTCATCACATTGGAGATTTCTGCTTCCAGGAAATTGACAGAGATATTCATGATTTAGAGTGTAGAAATAGCCATGAGGCGCTCATGAGAAAAGTTGAAAAGCTTCCTTGTGGTACAGACCAAGATGACGAAAGGCACGCTGGCAACAAGCCTGTTACGGATCAGCTGGGATTAAGCTTTCATTCGCATTTGCCTGAACTGCACATATTTCGGACGGAAGGGAAATTCGGTAATCAAGTTGAGAAATCTATCAATGATGTTTTCTCAGTTTCAGCAACCAAAATCATTTCTTGTAGGCCCCAAACCCATATTTCTAATAAGTATGACAACTTCCCCCATTCTTCATTACTCACACAAAAACCGAAAGTACACGTGAGAGAAGTACCTTTCCAATGTCATGAGAAAGAAACCTCTAACTGTAGCTCTCTCTTGAGGAAACATCAGATAATCCATTTAGGAGAGAAACAATATGAATGTGATGTGTGTGGAAAGGCCTTTCATCAGAAGCCATACCTTGAACGCCATTGTAGTTGTCACACTGAAGAGAAACGTTACAAGTGTAAGGAGTGTGGCAAGACCTTCAGTCGGATGTCATACCTTACATGCCATCATAGAATTCATACTGGAGAGAAACCTTACAGGTGTAATGAGTGTGGGAAGACTTTCCGTCAGAGGTCATCCCTTACACGCCATAATACCATTCATACTGGAGAGCAACGTTACAAGTGTAATGAATGTGGCAAGGTTTTTAATCAACGAGCAAACCTTTCACATCATCATAGAGTTCACACTGGAGAGAAACCTTATAAGTGTAGTGAGTGTGGGAAGACCTTCAGTCAGATGTCATCCCTCACATGTCATCATAGAATTCATACTGGAGAGAAACCTTACAAGTGTAATGAGTGTGGGAAGACCTTCCATGAGCAGTCATCTTTTACATATCATCGTAGAATTCATACTGGAGAGAAACCTTACAGATGTCAGGAGTGTGGCAAGACCTTCCGTGACAATTCATCCTTTACCCGCCATCATAGAATTCATACTGGAGAGCAACCTTACAAGTGTAATGAATGTAGCAGGGTTTTTAATCAACGAACACACCTTTCACTTCATCATAGACTTCATACAAGAGAGAAACCTTACAAGTGTAATGAGTGTGGCAAGGGTTTTAATCAACAAGCATACCTTGCACGTCATCATAGACTTCATACTGGAGAGAAACCTTACAAATGTGAAAAATGCCACAAAGTTTATAGTAGCAAATCAAGTCTTAAAAGACATAGGAGAATTCGCACTGGAGAGAAACCTTACAAGTGTAATGAGTGTGGCAAGAGCTTTAGTGAGATGTCATCTCTCATAGTCCATCATAGACTTCACACTGGAGAGAACCCTTACAGATGTCATGAGTGTGGCAAGACCTTCCGTCACAAGTCATCCCTTAAACGCCATCATAGAATTCATACTTGAGAGCAACCTTACAAGTGTAATGAGTGTGGCAAGGTTTTTAATCAACGAACACACCTTTCACATCATCATAGACTTCATACTGGAGAGAAACCTTACAAATGTGAAAAATGCCACAAAGTTTACAGTAGCAAATCAAGTCTTAAAAGACATAGGAGAATTCATACTAGAGAGAAACCTTACAAGCGTAATGAGTGTGGCAAGAGCTTCCGTCAGAAGTCATCCCTTACATGCCATTATAGAATTCATACTGGAGAGAAACCTTACAAGTGAAATGAATGTGGCAAGGTTTTTAATCGACAAGCACACCTTGCACGTCATCATCGGCTTCATACTGGAGAGAAACCTTACAAATGTGAAGAATGTGACAAAGCTTTCAGTCGCAAATCAAACCTTGAAAGACATAGAAAAATTCATACTGGAGTGAAACCTTACAAATGTAAGATTTGTGACAAGGCTTTTGGGCGTGATTCACACCTGGCAGAACATACTAAAATTCACACTGGAGAGAAACCTTACAGGTTTAATGAGTGTGGCAGAACCTTTAGTGCGCAGTCAACACTTAACACCATGAAGCAATCCATGGTATAGGGAAACTTTTCTAATGTAATGATTGTCACCCAGTCTTCAGTAATGCTACAACCAATGTGCGTCCTCCAATGCAAATCATTGGAGCATCCATAATGAATGGATTCTTGCAAGTGTAATCAATTTCACAAATGTTTTAGACATTGTTCATACCTTTCAGTTCATTGGCGAACTCATACTCGAGATGCCCCTTACAAATGTCATAACTGTGGCAAGGTCTTCAGTCAATTTTCATCTTATGCAAAACAGAAAAATTCATACAAAAGAGAAACCTCACAAAAGTGATTGTTGCGGCAAAGCCTTCACTGCACGTTCACACCATATTAGATGTTAGAGAATCCATACTGGCAGAAATCTTACAAATGTCATAAGTGTCACAAGGTCTTCAGGCAGAGGTCACTGCTTGCAGAACATTGGAAAATTCATTTTTGGCCGGGCGTGGTGGCACTCACCTGTAATCCCAGCACTTTGGGAGGCCGAGGTGAGTGGATCACGAGGTGAAGACATCGAGACCATCCTGGTCAACATGGTGAAACCCCGTCTCTACTAAAAATACAAAAAATTACCTTGGCATCATGTTGTGTGCCTGTATTCCCAGCTACTCGGGAGGCTGAGGAAGAAGAATTGCCTGAACCCAGGAGGTGGAGGTTGTGGGGAGCTGAGATCGCGCCATTTCACTCCAGCCTGGGTAACAAGGGTGAAACTCCGTCTCAAAAAAAAAAAGAAAAATCCATTTTTGAGATAATGTTCTTAGATGCAATGAGTCTAGCAAACCATCAAACATTAATTGACATTAGAGTCAATTCAGCATTGACTTGAGTCTGAGTTGACTTAACATTGACTTCCAACATTAATTGATATGTAAGTGTTAAGAGGATTGGACTGGATGGGGTGGCTCACATCTGTATTCTTAGCACTTTGGGAGGCAAAGACAGGTACATCCTGTGAGTTTAGTTTGAGACCAGCCTGGGCAACAGATGGAAGCCACTTTTCCCAGCCTGTGTTTTGTTTCTTTAGAAATCTGATAGAGGTTTTTGTGGGTATTGTGTTGAATCCAGATCACATTGGGTTTTACAGTCATTCAATAATGTTTCTCCGATCCATCAATATGGGTTGGATCTCTGTATATTTCTATAATCATTTTAATAAATGTTTGTAGATTTCATGGTACAAACATCTCACCTTTTACATTTACTTTTAAGTATTTAAGTTCTCTAGCAAATAGATGTGTGTTTTTAATTTGTTTTCAAATTGTTTATTGTTTTATGAAAATTCACCTAATTTTAAGTGCTAACTTTGTATTCTGCAGTTACACTAAATACGTTTATGGTACTAATATTTTCATTGATTCTTTGAGATTTTCTTTTCTTTTCTTTTCTTTTTTTTTTTTTGAGAGGCAGTGTCCAGTGTCAGTCTTGCTGCTCGAGCTGAAGTGCAATGATGTGAGCTTGGCTCACTGCAGCCTCCGCCTCCTGAGTTAAGTGTTTCTCCTACCTCAACCTCCTGAGCAAGTGGAATGATAGGTACCCCCCACCACGCCTGCTACTTTTTTTTTATTTCTAGTAGAGATGGGGTTTTACCGTGTTGACCATGTTGGTTTTGAACTTCTAACTTCAGGTGATCCTCCCATTTTAGCCTCCCATAATGCTGGGATTACAAGTGTAAGCCACTGTGCCGGGCGAATGATGTTCTACATAGAAAGTCATGTCATGTGCAAACACACACATTTTTTTTTCTTGACACGGAGTTTGACTGTTGTTACCCAGACAGGAGTGCAATGGCACAATCTCGGCTCGTTACAAACTCCGCCTCCTGGGTTCAAGCAATTTTCCTGCCTCAGCCTCCTGAGTAGCTGGGACTTCAGGTGCACACCACCATGCCCAGCTAATTTTTGCATTTTTAGTAGAGATGAGGTTTTACCTTGTTTACCAGGATGGTCTCCATCTCTTGACCTCGTGATCCACCCGCCTCAGCCTCCGAAAGTGCTGGGATTATAGGCGTGAGCCCCGGTGCCCGGCTACATTTTTTTTTTTAGACAGAGTCATTCTGTTGCCAGCCTGGAGTGCCATGGCACAATTTCTGCTCACTGCATCCTCCGCCTCCTGTGTCCAAGCAGTTCTCCTGTTTCAGCCTCCTGAGTAGCTGGGACTGAAGGCTTGCACCACCACACACAACTGATTTTGTTGTTTTGTTTTTCTTTTTTGTATTTCAGTAGAGACAGGATTTCACCATGTTGGCAGGATGGTCTTCAATTTCCTAACCTTGTGGTCCACCTGCCTCAGCCTCCCAAGTGCTGAGATTACGGTGTGAGTCACCTCGTCTGGACCTGACAAATATAACTTTACTTCTTTCTGATTTGGATGAGTTTCATTTTTTGCTATTTAATTGCTCTGGCGAGGACAGCCAGTACTTCTTGAATAGAAGGGATGAGAGCATTCTTGCATCATGTGAGATTCAACAGGAAAAGCATTTCATTTTCGCTTGTTGGTTATTTCACTCTGGTCATTGTATGGATAGTCTTTATATTTTTGAAGTAAATTTCTTTTTTTTTTTTTTTTTTTTTTTTAACGGAGTTTTTCACTTCTGTTACCCAGGCTGGAGTGCAATGGCGCAATCTCGGCTCACCGCAACCTCCGCCTCCTGGGTTCAGGCAATTCTCCTGCCTCAGCCTCCCGAGTAGCTGGGATTACAGGCATGCGCCACTTTGCCCAGCAAATTTTTTGTATTTTTAGTAGAGACGGGGTTTCACCATGTTGACCAGGATGGTCTCGATCTGTTGACCTCGTGATTCACCCGCCTCGGCCTCCCAAAGTGCTGGGATTACAGGCTTGAGCCACCGCGCCCAGTGGGAGCTCTTTTTAATCGGGAAAGACGGTGTCAAGAGACAGGTCCTGAGAGTCTGGCTGTGGTGGGGGTTATAAGAATAACTTGAAAAGGGCCTTCCCACTTTGGTTTAAGGCTTGCTGGGTTAAGAGTTTTTAGGAAGACATGCTCTCCTGGTAGTTGAGTGTGGTTGGTGGGATTTTGGCAGGGCCTGGTCTGCTTGTTCACGGAGGAGATGGCAGATGAGGATAAATGCTGGGAGGTACTCTCCTAGCTGACTTAGAAGGGGCCTGTTTTGCAGGAGGAAAGGGAGTCCATACATTAAGTGAAATGAGCCGAGGAAGGAGGGTGCTTTTGGGCTGGCTCTGATATGGGCTAGGGCTATGGACAGAAGGGAGGGCCGGGGTTGCTGGACGTCAGGAGTGAGTTTGTGACTGAGTCTTGTTTTTGATAAACTTTGACTACCCAGCTCCCTTGGAAGGAGGCCCCTTGTAGCAGGGAAGATTCTTCAGTGGGGGAACATTGGGGGTGGATTGCGGGGATAATGAAGAGGAAAGGAGCAGGCGCAGAAGAAATGGAGGCTGTTTTGGCTGCCTCCCCAGCCTTTCTGTTTCCTCTTGTCATCTGACCCTGTTTGATGTCCCCGACACTGCGTAACTCCTGCCTTAGCTGGGAGGTGTGCAGCTTGGAGAAGTTGGTAAATAAGGGGCCACTAGTGACGGGGGTTCCTTTGACGGTAAGGAATCCTCTCTTGCCAGGTGGCGGCGTTAAGAATGGAGAATGTGACAGGCATATTTAAACTGGGTACAAATGTTGACTCTTGCCTTTGCAGAGGTTCGGGCCCTGGTGAGAGCTGTAAGTTCCCCCTTGGGGAGGAGGTCCCTGGGGTGGGGGTTTGGCTTCAATTACTTGGTCAAGGGACGACTGCATGCCTGGCATTTGCTGACTTGGAGGAGGAGCCGTCTATGAATAACTGGTCCTCAGGATCATGAGGAGGGAGATCGGAGGGAATGGTGCTGTAGGATGTCAGTACAGGAGCGGGTGGGAGGGGAGGAAAACACTGAAGTAGGGACACAGGACTGAGGGGAGCACTTTGGAGAGGCGGCTCTCAGGGTGTTCAAGGAAGAGGGCGTGGGGTAGTTGGATCCACGGAGAAAGTGTGCTCAGTGCTCGGGAGGGGAGGAGACCCTGTGGATTGTGTGGGCTGTGGACTGCGGTGTCTCAGTGGACTGGTAGTTTCGTGCTTTCTAAGGCTCGGATGGTGGCTGCTGCTGCGGCTCTGAGGCAGGTGGGCCACGGTTCGGCAGTGTAGTCTAGTTGTTCAGATAGGTAAGCTATGGGAGAGAGGAAAGGGGACTTCCTTTTCTTTCAACACCAAGGGCTATTCCATGGTTTTGGGCTGTGTAGAGAATGAAAGGCTGAGAAATGTCAGGCAAAGGCAGAGCAGGAGCAGTTACAAGGGTGGCTATAACTGTGTGGAAGCTAGGGACTATGTCGTGTGAAGGATTTCGGGGCTCATCGAGAGGGCCTTTAGCTGCTTCACAGAGGGTGTGGGCTAGGAGGGAATAACTGGGAATCCATATTCTGAAGATTTCACTTTTAGAGGTGAGTGGGGGCAGGCTGTGTATCAGTCAGTGCTGCCCGTGCTGGGGTCGTGGCTTGGGCCCCGTGGGAGAGCTGAACTCCTAAGCATGTCGGTGTTGGAGCTGAGAGTTGGGCTTTGGAGGGGGAAACCCTACATCCTTTACTAGCAAGAAAGTTTACGAGGGTAATAGTGTGAGTCTGAGATCCTCTCGCCTCGGCCTCCCAAAGTGCTGGGATTACAGGCTTGAGCCACCACGGCCTTGTTTAGGATTTCTATGATGACAGCTATCCTTCCGCTTCCTGAGTAGCTGGGACCTCAGTCTCCCGCCCTCACGCTCTCAGGTCTGCCCTGTTCAAGCAGCAGTTGGTGACCTCGCTCCTCCCTGGCCTGAGCACTTAGTCCCGAATCCCAGCCGGGGGCGTCCGGGAAGTCTCTGCAGTTGAGCACAGGCTGGACTGTCCTTCCCGAGTAAATGGAGAGTAGAAAGGGAGAGAATCTCTATTCTGTTCTGTGGGCGTCAGCATGAAATCGTTCTGTGCTGCTCTGGCAGGGCTTTGCATTTCACATTCTGGTTTGCATCCCCGTTCCAGACAATTCCAGGGCTTTTAACTCAAGTCTCAGCCTTCCTGGCTGCTCTTGCCTCCAAAACCCAATAAACAGACTCTGGGAGCGAAGCTGAGAGACGCTCAGGTGCAGGCCCGCCCCTCCCTCTGCTGGTTCTGAAGGGCAAGGTCTCTCCGCCCAGCGCCCCGCCTCCACCTCGCCCAGGCCGCGCCCACCTCCACGCGGGTCCCGCCCACCTCCACGCGGGTCCCGCCCAAAACTGGCTTCCGTCCTGCGCGCGCAGGCTCGCGCAAACCCGGAAGCGGATCGCGTCGAGTTCAGGTCCCTTAGCGTCGCGTGAGTTTCGCACTGTCTTGTATTAAGTCTGCGCGTCGCAGGTCCCTGGCGCTTCTGTACCTGGGACGTGGGGTCCCCACAGACCGGGAAATTCTCGCCCGTCTTCCTTCACACAGAGCCAATTGGGACGTCCTCCTGGGATTCTCCGGGGGTCGCTTCCTTTTCGGTTTAAAGTCTCCCTGAGGCTGGTCCTGTCCTGGTTATTCTGCTGTAGGACAAAATACACACTTCCTATGGGTTAGTGTTTCAACCCAAAACCTTTTTCTGACTCCTCCCGCCCCTCGCCTTTTGAAGTCCTCACCCGAGAGGTGGATTCCTGCCCTAGGCGCCTCCTACCCTCGTCGGCCCCCCTGAGCACAGCGCCGCAGCCCCGGTCCCGGAGAGGCCGCGTCCTCTGTCTGGTCGTGGGATCCTGCAGACACCGCCTTTGTCTTAACGCACCGTCACCCCCCATCTCCCTCGTTTTTGTGCCAGGCCCTGATGCTTCCCAGGTCTCCCTTCGGCAGTCACTGCTTCTCCTGACCTCGCGTTGAGAAGGTGCCTGGGGCCTGTCCTGTGACAGGAGGTGTTCTCGCCTGCCCACCTTCAGTCCCTGGAAAATGCTCTCTTCTGGGATGCAGGCGTGTTACTTCCAACCCTCCTGTGATTGTGTGGGCCAAAGGGATCAGGAGACAGAACAATGGAAAACCTAAGAGACAAAAGAAAGAAAGACCCCCTAACAGATGGCAAAGTAGAGAATGGGTGAGGGATTTGCAAGAGACAGTAAAAGTGGGGAGAAATGAAAGGATAAAGCAGGAGGAGAAAAGCAACTGAAGAAATGTAAAAAAAGGCTCGAGGTACAGAGAGATGAAGGACAGCAAGGCAGGGATGGGGCAGCAAAGAGGGAGGCTCATGAGAGTGAGGGAGAGGAGGAGGGATTTGGAGGCGGGGCAGACAGAGCAGAGTGGTGCTGGTGGCCAGGAGAACAGAAGGAGCCACAGCAGGGAAGATACCTGGGAATGTGGGGTGCCGGAGAGTGGGGACAGGAGGGTATATCAGTGAAGAGAGAATTTAACAGGGATAGCAGAGAAGGCACAGAGATGGGAGATGAGGCTGACCTACGTGGAGATTGAGGACGATCGAAAGATTGGAGAGAAGGAGAAACAAGAGGTTAAATTGTGAGGATGAGCAGAAGAGGTGGAAGAGAAGGAATAGAGGGGAGAAGTGGATAAACAGCAGGAGAGGAGAGGGGAGCGAAGCGAGGAGCAGAATCCCAGGGAAAAAGAAAACAGCTTTGTCTAGGGGCAAAAAAAAAAAAAAAAAGAATGACTAAGAACAGACGGCAAGGTATAGAACAAAGAGGGATATCCAGAAAGTACGAGTGAAAGAAGCACCCCAGAAAATATCAGGAGGAAAGCAACTCAGAGTTTGAAAAGGAGTTACTCTGCTGTCTTTCATCTTCAGAGAGATGGGACCTCTGCCTCCTATGGTCAAGCGATTCTCCTGACTCAGCCTCCCAAGTAGGTGGGATTATAGCCGTGAACCACCATGCCCAGCTAATTTTTGCATTTTTAGTAGAGATGGGGTTTCTCCATCTTGGCCAGGCTCGTCTCGAATTCCTGGCCTCAAGTGATCTGCCCATCTTGGCCTGCCAGAGTGCTGATTTAACAGGTGTGAGTCACTTTGCCCAGCCAGATTTTTCTTTCTTTTTTTTTCTTTTTTTTAAGAGAACCGCTTTTACCATATTGTCCAGGCTGGTCTTGAACTCCTGGGCTCAGACCTCCCAAAGTGATGAGATTACAGGCATGAGCCACCACTCACAGCCTGTTTTTTAATTTAAAAAAAAATTACTTCTGAAATAAGTTTTGTTAGAATATTGTTTTGATAGTCTTTACCTGTCGCCCAGGCTGAAGTGCAGTGATGTGATCTCAGCTCACTGCAATCTCTGCCTCCCAGGTTAAAGAATTTCTCCTGCCTTAGCCTCCCAAATAGCTGGGATTACAGGCAGCGGCCACCATGCCTGGCTGATTTTTCTATTTTTGTTAGAGATGAAGTTGCATCATATTGGTGGGCTGGTCTTAAACTCTGAACACCATGATTCACCAACCTTGGTCTCCTAAATTGCTGGGATTATAGGCATCAGGCATGAGCCAACAGGTTGGGCACTTTTTTTTTAAAGGTAGAGTCTCACTCTTGTCACCCAGGCTGGAGCACAATGGTGCAGTCTTGGCTCACTGCAACCTCTGTCCCCTGAACTCAAGTGATCCTCCCACCTCAGCCTCCTAAGTAGCAGGGACCACAGACACCCTACAGATGTCCACCAGCATGCTTGGCTACGTTTTTGTATTTTTAGGAGAGATCAGGTTTCACCATGTTGCCCAGGCTGGTCCCAAACTCCAGAGTTCAAGCCATGCACATGCCTCGGCCTCTCAGAGTGCTGAGATTACAGGTGTGAGTCACTGCACCCGGCCTCTGCATGGGGTTAGGCAAGGGCTGCATCTGTGCCCTGAAGGGGAGCTCATTCCAGCCCAGCTCCTTACTGCTGCAGTGTGTATGGGGGGCTTCGTCAGGAGGAAAGTGGGTTCTGAAGAAAGGAGTCAAAAATTATTTAGTTTTCCTGTAGGAGTTTGTCTTCCCTGGTGTAGTGGGCAGCAGAGGGAACCGTATTTCCTCAGGGTGAGGTTTTCTTTGTATGTGTCGTTGTGTTACAGGGAGGAGGTGTGTTGATTCTGAGCAATGAACAACATATTTATAACATTCAGGATTGACTTCTAAAGACTCTTGATACGTGAGGAAGGACCCCGGAAGAAAAAGAGGAAAGCAAAGGAGTCAGGGATGGCTCTTCCTCAGGTGAGATGATCTTGGTGGATTGTTCTGTCTCCTTCCTTTCAGAAATGCTGGGCCTTGGAGTTGGGAATCTTCTCTGAGTCTGAAGCGTCCTGCCTGCCAGGTTTGCTGGTACTCACCCATGCCTTCCCTCAGTCCCTCTCATGTCAACTAGATTCCATCTCTGGTGACCCAGTGACAGGAGCTTGGGAAGAGGCTACACTGGGCATGGTCCTGGGAAGGGCTGACCCCAGACGTGGATGGAGACGGGGTGTGGGCCCCATGGTGTCAGGGCTCCTGGGCAGCAGGGATTGTTCAGGGGCCACATCTGGATGCACCATCAGCTCTCTGTAGACCAGGAGTAGAGCAGCTGCCAATAAAAGTCATGTATTAATGTGTATGAAATACATGGTAAATTCTAGAAAGGGAGTCCAATAATGGCCAAGTGTGGTAGATCAGGCCTGTAATCCCAGCACTGTGGAAGACCGAGGTGGGTGGATCACTTGAAATCAGGAGTTTGAGACCAGCCTGGCCAACATGGTGAAATCCTGTCTCCACTAAAATTACAAAAATCAGCTGGGCGTGGTGGCATGTGCCTGTAGTCCCAGCTACTTGGGAGGCTGCGGCAGGAGAATCGCATAACCCCGGGAGTCAGAGGTTGCAGGGAGCTGAGATTGCAACACCGCACTCCAGTCTGGTGACAGAACCAGACCCTGTCTCAAAAAGCAAAAACAAACAAATACAAAAAATTAGCCAGGCGTGGTGGCACGTGCCTGTAGTCCCAGCTACGCGGGAGGCTGAGGCAGGAAAATTGCTTGAACCGGGTGGTGGAGGTTGTAGTGAGCTGAGAATCCGCCAGTGCACTCCAGTCTGGAAAGCAGACGGAGACTCCATCTCAAAAAACAGAAAAAGTCTTGATTGAGGTGAAGAGTTACGCTGTAACATACCTCATTGATTCCCTCGGCCCTTTTGCGTCTGTTGTACCATAGCCACTGTTTTTTTGGTTATGCTAGTATTTGTGAAAAGAGGTCTTATATTTCCTGCATCAGAACGACAGCAGTTCTACTTTGCCTCGTTTAATTACATATGAATAAAACAACCAAATTTCCTTTTTTTTTTTTTTTTGTTTTTTTTGAGACGGAGTTTCGCTCTTGCCACCCAGGCTGGAGTGCAATGGCGCGATCTCGGCTCACCGCAACCTCCGCCTCCTGGGTTCAGGCAATTCTCCTGCCTCAGCCTCCTGAGTAGCTGGGATTACAGGCACACACCACCATGCCCAGCTAATTTTTTGTATTTTTAGTAGAGATGGGGTTTCACCATGTTGACCAGGATGGTCTCGATCTTTTGACCACGTGATCCACCCGCCTCGGCCTCCCAGAGTGCTGGGATTACAGGCTTGAGCCACTGCGCCTGGCCCACATTTCCTTTAAAAAAAAAAAAAAAATGAAAAATTTTTTTCTGCCTGATTTTATACCTTTTTAGGTAATTAGTGAGCTTTTGTGTTTCTGACTCCAAAATTCTTACTCATTAGAATGGAAAGTTCACACACGGACATGAATAATACAAGGTGTTTTATTCCATCATTATTTTGAGAATATGAAAGCAACCTAAATAATAGCAGGAGATTCATGAAACCATTCTCAACACATTAAGCTCATGGAGACTGTGGTGTTACTCTCGAGAGGCTTGTGAAACAGGCGTTTTTGGTAGAAATGGTTATGATTTTTCTCAAATATGGGAGCAGTACTTCTTTTTTACCCTTGTAGGATGGAGGCATATTTTTATTCCAATTATTATTATCTTTTCAGGTGAAGCCTCTCTCTGTTGTTCAGGCTGGAGTGCAGTGGCATGAGCCCAGCTCACTGCAACCACCGCCTTCCAGGTTCCCAGAATGGAGTGCAATGGTGTGATCATGGCTCACTGCAACCTCGAATTCCTGGGCTCAAGTGATCGTCCCACTTCAGCTTCCAACGGTAGCTGGTACAGGTGCATGCCATCAGGCAGGCCTAATGTTTTAGTTTTTTTTTTTTGAGGGAAAAAGAAGGGGAAAAAAAGAAAAAGAGGGAAAAAGGAATATTACTTCATTCCTAAAATGGGTTTCAATAATGGCCGATCAATATTTTGAGTGTTTAAAGTGGTTAATGCATATTTTATGTGTTTAAAATGGAGACCTCTATTGTGTTTGTTCTGGCTCTGAGTTCAAGTCCTGGATATCGTTATCAATTTGTTGTCTCGTTGAATCTAAATCTCATTATGTGTCTTATGTATCTGGGTGTTAAGATCTCTTATTGTTGCATTAATCCTTTTACCCTTGCATCCTTGTAGCTTTGAAATCTATTTTATTAAGTGTGAGAATTGCAACTCCTGCTTTTTATTTATTTATTTTTGCTCTCCATTTGGTTGGTGAGTTTTTTCCCATCCCCTTGTTTTGAGTCTTTGTATATCTTTAGATATATCGTTAGATTTTGTGGATAATATATATTTTGTGTGTTTAAAATGGAGAGCTCTATTGAGTTTATTTGTTCTGGATCTTAGTTCCAGTCCCGGATATCGTTATCAATTTTCTGTCTCGTTGAATCTAAATCTCACTATGGGTCTTATGTATCTGGGTGTTAAGATCTCTTATTATTACATTAATCCTTTTATCCTTGTATCCTTGTAGCCCTGAAATCTATTTTGTCAAATGTGAAAATTGCAACTCCTGCTTTTTATTTATTTATTTTTGCTCTCCATTTGGTTGGTATTTTTTTTTTCCAACCCTTTATTTTGAGTCTATGTATATCTTTGGATATACCGTTAGATTTTTTCTGTATCTTTTGATTGGGAGATTTGGTCGATTTAAATTTAGGGTTGCTGCCATTTGATATTAACTGGCTATTTTGTCCTTTCGTTGATAAAAATTCTTCTTTATGTTAATGCTCTTTACTTTTTGGTGTATTTTTAGAAAGGGTCATACTGGTTGTTCCTTTCTGTGTATAATGCTTCTTTTAGAAGTTCTTGTAAAGCAGGCCTGGTGGTAATAAAATCTCTGAGTACTTGCTTGTTCCTAAAAGATTTTATTTTTCCTTCAAATGTAAAGCTTAAATTGGCAGGAT